GTCTAAACCACCCTGTCACGGCTCTGAGTTCTTTAAATTCTTTGAAATTTAAATTATATTAATATGCAGTTAACGCAACTGGATTTTGCAGAGAGAGAGAGAGAGAGAGAGAGAGAGAGAGAGAGAGAGAGAGAGAGAAAGAGAAAGAAATGTCACTAATTAATTATTTTAAAAATATCATGCATTATTGTATGCCGCACGTACTTTAATTTATTCACGGTCTACACTTAAATGGTTTATTTAATATATATTAATATAAAGTTGTTTATTACACTTTGCTGCGTCAATGCATTAATATTTTTTTGTATTTACAGCCTCAATACGATTCGCCTTTGGCAGCCACAACTTTTTGCGACAATAAACAATTTTTATAGCCTTGATACGAACATAACTAATCCTACCTTTTGCGAAATATTGGACTTCTCGATGTCTATTAATGCAAATGAAACTGTCGCACTAGGAGGAACGTCAAGCTGTGAAAATGTATACGATACAATAATTATTACAAGATATAAATTAATTTATATATTATATATAGCACATATTATGCACCAATTTGCTGTTACTATTTTGCTGAACGAAATGCACATCCTCACATTTAAAGAAGTCAATGAAACTTTTGTAATTGCTAACATCATTTCATAATTTTTTACATTTTTTAAGTGAGTTAATTTTTTTCAGATTGTTGTGTCCGATTCAATGTACCTGGACACTGTTCTTGTCTCGGCTACTTCTTCTATCTTCATACTCTGTGCCAGCGTCTTCGTTCATTTTCTGCAGCACAGATATCTGTTAAGTACGTTTCTTTTTTAACGTTGTTTCATTGTTTCGCGCAAGTGTCTTTATGCTGAAGAAAAAAAAAATAGGATGTATAATAATACTCTATACTTTTCTCTCCTTTTCGGACGTAGTCATCAGCTATGGATGCTCGCTTTTGTGTATGACCGCTTTAATCTGGTCTACAAATACATTAAGCACCCTTATTCTCACGTGTTTATACGTTGGATTATTGAGTAAGAGTTTGAACGTTGCGATCGGCGCGACTGTTCTGCTTTTCCCTACGTCTTTGAGGTTTGTCATTTACAATTAGTCTCACAAAATCATTGCAACATAAGTAACCAATGCACGCACGTTGTGTTCTTCATTTGTCAGAGCCATGGCAGTAAGCATGGAAATGATAATAGGAAGAATCGGATCTATGACTGGCAATCTCTTATTCCCCGTTTTACTTGAGCACGGCTGTATAGCACCGATAATTAATCTGGTCTGCTTCTCTTTGGGTAAGCACGCTTTTTTATTCCAGAATAAAAATCTCCAAGTAACTTCACCGTTATCTATTTTGAAAGAAAAAAAGAGATACGTTTTATTTCTATATTAAATACTATGTTGCACTGTAACTCTTTGTATACATAATATTTAACTTTATTATATATATATATCTCCTATTTTAATTTTTTAGTATGCATGTTTCTTACGTGTTTCCTACCAAGTACACGCAAGCACGCGGTGTAAGTCACGCTGAAAGATCGAGAGAGGATAAAGTTTCAGACAAGTCACAAAACAAGTTTCATTTCTTACGAGCGTCTCCGTAATAACGTCTCCATTTGAGGATTCACGATCGCTTAGCCGAGCCAAACTGGAGGCTCCGAAGACCTGAATCGAAGCTTATCGCGAGCTATGATCGAGCCCATATGAGGGCGGACAATGGCCATGCATATACATGCACCACACAACGAAAGACTGCATGAGACCTTGAGTTTCACTTTCGACACATCCTGGAGAGCCCTCCAGCCTTCACCCACATGCTCATCCCCCTCTATCCCGCGCTTCTCCTCGTGTGGACGCAGAGCTTTATCGCAGATCTCAGGACCTCGCCACCTCCGTTGATCGGTGCAATAAAATGTACCGACGTGAACTTGTACGCCTGTAGTAAGTCTTCACCTCGAAAAAAATCAGAGAAAAAGGCGCGAACGTGGCGTGAATCTTTATGGCTGCAATCAATTGAATGTATTGTTATCGTGTTTTGCCTCCGATTGAGGATTAACTCAGAGATGCCTTGAATACTTTTGGATGTGCTTTATTATGTGTGAATTAGGTAAGTAAGTAAAAAGCACAGCGCGTTTATGTTTATACTTTATGACATTAACTTTTACATATAAACGCAATGTGCGTAAACATCTATACTTTATCATGGGTGATTATCTCGGGAATTGTCGCACAGTAAGCCAGCGATTATAGGATTTGTAAATTGCTCACGTTCTTTATTTGCACGTCGGAAAACTGTGATACAATTTATGAGAACTATTATTTTCAGACAAATATGTTGACGGCAATACGTGTACATTTTATAGCGTACAGTTGGTTATTTCAGAAGATGATAATATCACAATTATAGTTTATGCAAGTGTAATACAATTGATATCACGAATGCAAAACATATTGTATAAGTGTACATGTATATACGTATATGACACAAGAAATACATGTACAATAATTATTCTCTACCACATAATAATCTTGAGTCCGAGTTAGCGCACGACTGCGTAAAGAATCCTTGTTTATCCGCATCGCATTCAACAATTGGACAGTTAAAAAAAGTTGGATAGTTAAATGCCCGTTATACAATCAAATCGCACTCTCATTTAGCCGTTAATGAAACCACGTAGGCTCTCGCGGTTTCTTCGGCGTTTCTCATTGTAATAAGGGCTCCGTGGCGCCCGAGACGGCATTCCGCATAAATTGCGGAAGAGAACTATGCACCGCACACACGTGCGCCCGCCGGTGGAAAAACGCGCCTGCATTTCTTCTATCCGCGCAACCCAATGTCTACATTAAAAGGCGGCGCGTATCCGCGAGCCTCAAGCACGCGTTGTATCCCAACAACGATCTGCGCCTCCGACAACTTCATCAACAACCTCATTTAACACCTTCCCGGCCGCATCCTATTTGCGCGAAGGTGTTGTAAGGGTCCCTTTGGAAATATCTTCTTGACGTAGCGATATTTCCAGCGATATTTTGAAACGCAACGCACTCTATTAATATTAATAGAGCATATAAATTGCATATTTCTCATAACACATAATGTATTCCGTTTTTACGAACTAATTATCGTTAATAATTATCCATTCAGTTTAACGACGGAGCGAGGTACGGTACTGAGTCTCGCGCGCAAATCGGCTCGGAGGCGTGTTTTAACGGTCCCGAATCCATCCTGTTGAGCAACGCCGATGTCCCTCGTCAGATCGGCTCTGCAGCTTCGACATGAAATTAAGCCCGCGGCGAGGAAATTCGTCGATACTGCGCCAAATTGAATTATCAGAATTGATGGCCGCGATGAAAATTGAATCGCTCCGGACATGTCCGCGGTGCCGAGCGGCTCGACCGGCGAAAGAAAGCCGATAAGAACGGGGGCAGCGTAAGAACTGAAGGCTGGTAAAAACTGAACGTTGACGAAGCGAGTCTCGTGAGAATCACTCCTCCTCGTTCTCTAATCATTCTATACGGACACGAAGTATCGTCGTATCGCGATTTCACGGCCGCTACTCGCTCGATCGTTCCTCCGCGCCGTGGGTACCGCCGCGGTAAGATAGCCTGCATCGGTAGGTATCGCATCGGCACGATACTGTTAACTCTTCCCGTGAATATTCTCTCTCTCTCTCGGGAATAGCCACGCGGCTTCCGTTGCCTCTCGTCCGCGACGTTCCCGGCGAGTCAGCGAGAAAGCCGCGCGTTTTCATCGTCTATCACTCTTATTTATCTCCATTCGACCGCGTAGATGAAGTTCTCCAAGTCTGTCGCCGACGTCGCCGCTCTTGTCACCGTTACATTTCTCGGCCGTTGGTCTTACGGGCCTAAGAAAGCGGCAACGGGCACTCTCGTATCTGTTGAATGTGCAAATATTTCAGTTTCCACCGTCGTTTATTATTATTTCGCACGGCGTGGCCGTCCCACGTGTAATACAAGAAAGGCTCGCGTCGATCGATCAATCAGACATTAAGGGGTGCATTAACAATCCGTGTTAAGCGCGCGATCGTAGAATGACGGCGAAATTACAAGGTAGTCCAACATTCGCGGCGGTCTTCGTTGCGGAAAGATTTCAATGAACCGGCCACGAAAACCGAGAGTGAGAAAAAAAGGAGGAGGAGGAGGAGGAGGAGGACGCGCGGCTGAACGTGTCGAAGGCTATTGAGAGAATAGACTGACCAAGGTTGAAGAGTCGACGTCAACCTTGCGGCAAGTTCGCCGTCTGCGGTTACTTCTTTCGCGCGCGGGGGGGGGGGGACGGGCACACAATTGGTACGAAATTAATTAACAACAGCTATCGACACGGCCTGGCGATAAGAGCCACGGCGTGCGTTTGTCGAGCTAATTGCAGACCGTTTCTTTTCCCCGTCCACCTCCTCTCTCTTTCAGTCGCAGACACGCTTTTCTGTAATGACAAGCTGCCCGAGGTCGGTGACAAGTTAGTCAAGTGGCTCGGATGCGGCCCCGGCTGCCGTCAAAGGCCAATCGGCTCCAGGGTGGCCGCTCGCAGCGGAATAGATGAGTCACTTTCGGTGTGGTTCATCGCGCGTCTCCTCCATTGTGCGCCGCAATAACCGGATACCGATGTCCGTTTCGTGGCAGGTGAACTTCAAGGAGTATGATTTCGATGTAAAGCCCATATCAGACTACAGATTGAGATTGAGATTAAATTGAAGTTCGGACCAATCGGAATGCAATTCACAAACTTGAGATTAGTAAGCTTTACTCTGGTTGGTCAAATTTCAATCTAATCTCAATCCCTAGTCTGGTACGGGCTTAAGGACGCTCGATATTACGAGTTCGTTACACGCCAAGGAGATCTTATCGAGACGACTTTGTTATCGTCGTCCTCGCCTTATAGACAAGGCGAATTTTTATTTTTCACAGCAGATAAGCCAATTAACGTAGCAGGTTAATGTGGCATTGTGCTACCAACTGGGTGCCTCAATACAAGCGGCTTTTATTTTCCAAATTGAAAAGTAAACAAGACGCGGAATTCAAACTCAGCGCTCTGAGTTGAACGCAATCGTGATTATAGTACGCGCTCGCGTTTGTAGATCATTTAACCCGATATTGTTTCGATCGCTATACAACTGGATCGTTATACCGGATAACGGCAACAATCGCCTAGCGTGACGCTCGTTAATTCTTCTCCTCCACGGATTTTCTCGCGATTGCTAACAAGCGGTCCCACGATCCCCCGTTATCGGCATTCCACCGAGCTGATAAAACAATAGCGAAGTCGCTTCCATTTCTTCCATTTGCATGGAACCTCGACCGCGATAGCGCTCAGTACTTAACCAGCCATGTCGGATGAATTGAAATACGTTTACGCCGTCTCCGAAAATTGCCAAAAAAAAAAAAGGATTTTTTGAGTATATTCTATTGAATACGTTAAGGGGATGCTGGAGTCGTTCTGTTTTACCGACATTTTTTATATAAGGATATCTTTTAATTGGCTTTACAGAATTGCAAATTCTTGTACACGATTAAAGTTCGCACAGAAATGAAAGTCAGCCTACTCGACTTTATATAAAAAACGAAAAAAACTAAATATTCCATTAATTTTTGGCATGTAGAGCTGTCACATGACGATAATATTTGCTTAATACAAAAGTTCTATAGTTTATATCTGCAAAATGAGACCGGAGTGAGCTAGAGACAACATGCAAGAACAATATTGTGTAATTGGAACTAAGACTAAAAGTCTAGAAAAAAAGATGGGTTTAAATAAAAGTTTTTAAATGCAAATACAGCTGTGTGTGTGTGTGTGTGTAGAATGATAAGTAGAGCAGTATTGCGTGTAGTAATAGATGCCGGATTTTGTGTATTGGCATCTATTCGATCCGGAATCTATTACTACACGCAATACTGCTCTACTTATCATTCTACAGCTGTATTTGCATTTATAAATTTTTATTTAAACCTATCTTTTTTTCTAGACTTTTAATCTTAGTTCCAATTACACAATATTGTTCTTGCATGTTGTCTCTAGGTCACTCTGGTCTCATTTTGCAGATATAAACTATAGAACTTATGTATTAAGCAAATATTATCGTCAAGCTCTACATGCCAAAAATTAATGGAATATTTAGTTTTTTTTCCGTTTTTTATATAAAGTCGAGTAGGCTGACTTTCATTTTTGTGCGAACTTTAATCGTGTACAAGAATTTGCAATTCTGTAAAGCCAATTAAAAAATATCCTTATACAAAAAATGTCGGTAAAACAGAGAGACTCCAGCATCACCTTAATACGTGAAACTGTAATAATAGACTGTAATAATATCCCAAGGAGAAGAAAAAGTCAGGATGATGTCAATTTGATGTCATATTGACCAAATTTATGTCAAATTTTGGTCAATTGGGAGTGTCTTGTGCTATCTGGGTACTGGGGACAGGGAGTTATCGAAAATCTCCATTTTAGTTTGGCGCATACGTTGAACTTCCGACGTTTGCCCGCGACGTATCTCGATCTCGGCCGGCAGTAAGAGAATGGACCCGCCACGAGAAGAGACTCGGCTCGTTTCTTCACCTACATACCCTCGCGCGGATTACACGCGTTACGCACGCAATTCATTAACGTGACGTTGCCCCGCACTTATGCGCCTGCCTATGCAAATGAGCGCGTTATCTGCGGGTATATATCTCCCGCTAGGACCGCTATGCCCATAACACACACCGTGCGACTCCTTGCTCCTTACCGTTCTTGCCGGCCATTCTTTCGCCCTCCCCGTATATGCAGGCGCCTTCGTTACGCTTCCTTCCTCCTCGCCGCTCTTGTTCGCCGCAGGTGTTCTCACACCAGGCCGGCTGATCCTCGCGCGAAACTGGGATACCGGGCGGAAGGGCTCGCGCGAGCTTCGGCACCCGATTATCTCGGAGCCGTAACGCGACTCGCGGCTCGTTCCCCGTTTAATTTCATGCAACGATCCGCATTCACCGCGAGCGAGCGAGCGAGCGAGCGAGCCGGCCGCCTCTCCTCCATTTCCGCGTGTGCGGAGCGAACATCGCGAGAACCGGCAGTCGAATAACCTTAACGTCTGACGTAAACGGATAAGCATTTCCGATAATCATCGCAAGCCGCATTTGCCTTTTTATAGATACGCGTATTATTTATTTCAGATTATCAGATCTTGAAGATCTACGAGATGCAACGCTCAGATCGTTATCGTGCGTATACAGAATAAAAGTAAGAATCCCATGACGGACAGCATGTATTATAAATCAAATATATAATTACGAAGCAAATTATACACGCCGGGATTAAAGATAAGTGTTTTACTGCATTTTATTCGGCGTTAGATTCATGTTTACGCCTACACTAAAAGAACGGTTAATCCCGTAGAAACTTCTTTTTCACAACGCCGACGTCACTCGAGAAAGGTACACCGGTGTCCGCGTGCAATTTCACCAGGCGAGATTGTAGTCGCGAATTTACTTGGGCAGGGGGGGGGGGGAACGAATGTTAAGCAGGGAAAGGGTTAAATG